TGTATTTTATATATCATTCTCAGTGAGTTTATGCACATTTCTGCAGAAAAAAAAAGAGAAGAGGGACAACTTTAGTTGGGAGCACTGTTTCTGAGGTAGTAATATATCTTGTCCATTTTATATTCTTATATCAAAATACCTGAGGCTGTGTAGTCTAAGAAGTTACATAAAGGATTCTAGACTTAACATTTTAGTCATAGCAAAGGAAGTAACAGAAGGATGTAAATTTAAATTAAATACTATATTTTGTTCTATTCACCCATCTCCATTTCATTCTAAAGTTATTTTCTACTTCTCGTCTAAAACCTACTATTTAGGTGTTTAATTTTAATTAATTCATATGAATTGAATATAAAGTGAATAACCTTAATAAAATTCATACGAAATTGTCAAAACCGAGTGACAGACCCTACTGCTGAATAGTTTGATCATTTATAATTTGGCAACCTACAAATTATGAATGAAAAGTAGTATAAATTACATAAGTACTATCATATAATTATGTTATTATCCCTGCTTTCTTATGACAAACCATCTAAAATAATGTTGCAAAAACAAATGGTTCCCTGATTTTCTTAAAGCAACATTTATATTTTCACTTAGGACCTGGGAATTTGAACAAAGCCATCTTTCCACTACAATACCACCAAAGATAATGTATGTACTAACTCTTAAAAAAATTAGTTATATACTATTTGGGTAGGATAGACTCATCCTGAATCAAAGTAAAAAATAAATATAATTAAATAGTGTAAGTTCCACATATATGTTCAGTATAAAATGGTCACATTTTAGAATTTTAAAAAGCATTCTAAAATGACAGGACAACTACTGTGTCTATGGTTGTTTACAATTCAACTCCTCAGCTAAAAGACAAAAACAAAAGAAAACAAATCCAGTTCTGCAGAATCATCTTCACTGAGTGGGTGTCAAAGAGGCTTCTCTACAGAAAACACATTTAAACACAGCTGAAAAGTAAGGCAGGGAATACAGAGTGACTGCTCCTATCTAACACTACACAATACTCAGTTGTACAGTGGATGGAGCTGGTTCAATTCTTGAAGGAGGAAAATCAATATATGGTTACTTGAGGTATAGAAAAAGAATTACAACACTGAACCAAATCCAAATAGAGAGAGTTGACTAAATTTTCTACCTATAATGTGCTCACAATGTATAACTACAGTTCCAAGTGAATACATGTGAGGACATAAGGAAACAGAAGGCAAGAAGAAGAAAAATGACTGAAGAATGTAACAAATTTGGTACAAAATTCATATTATGTGAATAGTTCTTCCTAATGACATAGAATAATCTCCATTTAATAAGATGTCTCCAAATAGGTCATATCCAACAAATATTTTGTAACTTTTTAAAAATTTTTATGTATTTGAAAGACAAAGACAGGAAAAGACAAATGAGAATGAGAGCAAGAGCTAGAGAGAGAGAGAGAGAGAGAATGGTTCCCATCTGCTGGCTCACTCCCCAGATGGTTGCAATGCGAATTAGGGTGCCAAGAACTCAATTAAAATCTCCCAAATGGTTGTCAGGAATCCAAATACTTGACAACACTGCTGCTTTCCACGATCAGAAGCCAGAGCCAAAGTGGGCACTGAATCCAGGGACTCTGGAATGGGAGGTGGGCATCTCAATTATCAGGCCAAACGCTAAGTTTCAAATTTTAATTGATATCTTTTACCATTTTTTGTTAATTTCAGTTTCTTCTAAAAAGTAGATGATAGGTAAGACATTATTTATCAACTCAGAGTGTTCTGCATTTTTTAATGTGAGGGTTCAAAGTTGCTATGGGCCTCTACATGCTGGGTAGAATAAAAATAATATAAAACTATGCTTCATATTGATAAAGTAATGGAATAAACAAAATATTTGAAAAATTTTCAAGATCATTGAGATTAGTTTTGTAATTGTTGTCCAATTTGCCTTTATGACTATAGCCTACATAGCTGCTTGAACTATGTTTAAAAACAAGTCCTCAAGTTGGGAATTGATAATTTCTTTTTTTTTTTTCTTTTTTTTTTTTTTTACAGAGGATCAGTTTAGTATGCATTAAGTAAGGATTTCAACAGTTTGCACCCCCATAGAAACACAAAGTGAAATATATTGTTTGAGTACTCGTTATAGCATTAAATCTCAATGTACAGCACAAAAAAAAAAAAAAAAAGAAATTATCAATTCCCAACTTGACTCTCACTGGGATTAAACATGACAATAGGTCTGCTCTGATTTCATCATCATTTAAAAAAATCATCTATTATTTTTCACTTTATGTTTCTGTGTGGGAGCAAACTGTTGAAATCCATACTTAATGTATACTAAGCTGATCTTCTGTATATTAAGATAATCGAAAATGAATCATGATGTGAATGGAAGGGGAGAGGGAGTGGGAAAGGGGAGGGTTGTGGGTGGGAGGGACGGTATGGGGGGGAAGCCATTGTAATCCATAAGTTGTACTTTGGAAAATTATATGCATTAAATAAAAGTTTAAAAAAAAAAAAAAAAACAAGTCCTCAAAACAAGCTCTAAAATGTGCCTTTATTGGCTAATAGGCTTCTGGTTCTGTTTGTTATAGCATAATGATTTAGTGCTCATACAGTGCCTTTCCTTTTCTATCAAAATACAAAGGAGAATGAAAAGCATCACTGTTGGGTTTAGTGAATGAAAAAAAAAAATGACAAGTGGTTGGTTACATTTTTCTTTTTGTTTTTCTGGGTGTGTAGCTTTGTATACTGAGAGTGTACTCTTCCAAGTACTTGCCCTTCTTAGTCTCTGTTTTCTCAGGGCAGAAGCTACACTAACTCAATCACCATGTCTGTTTTGATATTGTCCTGAAAATAAAGTAACAGGAAGAGTGGATGACAACGGGAAAGAGTTAGGCACAAAGGTCACCTAACAATGATGAATTATAAAATGATGTTTCTTTCTCTTCAACATTATCTGCCTTTTATGCCTAATTTTTCTAAGAGGACTCCATAAAACGATTCTGAACATGTACGTGTTTGGAACTTCAGTGATTAAAAAGCAAAAGTCAATGGGATAAAACTTTAATTAATTTTTTTACACATTTTTCAGAAATATACTTTACCTTGACAGGCAGGGACGGGCGCATCCCATGCATGGTACCCATAGGAAGACTTCCTGCACACAGCACTGCTTTTCCCAACAAGTCGGAATCCTCGATCGCAGGCCCAACGGACCACACTATTCAGCTGCCCACCTGTCTGACTGATGATGTATCCATGGGGCGGGGATTCTGGTGTACTACAGTAGAAAGCTTTTAAAAAAGGAAAAGTCATTGTTTAACTAGTGAATCAGAAATTATTTATTACCCAAAGTTATAAACTCTACAGTGAGTCTTAATACTTAAAATCAGATCAACTTTAATTTATGTGAACATCGCATTGCTTTTTAATCCCTTTAAAAATAAGCTACATACATAACTTTTAGACAAAAAAAAAACTATCTGGTCTTTTACTTTATTGTCACTGTAGAAAGATGTCTTGTGAATTGAAATATATTTTCCTAATACCCTGGAGGTTCAAAAGCCCTACAAATATTTTACAGAATTTTTGAAACAGCATTCCCCTTGATTTGAAGGCCCTAAATGTCACAGTCTTAATAGCAATATTTTAGAGTCTATTGTTTACATGTCACTTTGAAGTTATCTCCAGACACCTATATCATGTTAGGTCACGCTTTTCATTTTGGTTGATATCTAAAATAAGCCCTCATACTCCATAATCCTCTTTCTCCATCTAGGAAAGAGTTTCCATTCTGTCAAGAGTGCTTACATATGGTGATAAAAATTGTCAATAAAACTTTTTTTTTTCATGTCTTGAAACCTGAAATGTCAAGAGATAATGTCAAATCGCTTTTTCATATATATGTAGTTTATGACTATTCAACCTGGCAGGTTCCGTTTACCCTTTGATACTTCAATGTATTCAGATGAGAAAAAGAAAATTCGAGGGATAAACAGTGAGAAATATATTGGACTTAGGATATATAGGTCAAAGCTTACTTTTTCTAAAGAAAAAATATGTATTTAATATGTCAATGAGTTTGAGGGAGCCAAAATGTTTTATCATTATATTTATATGATATGACTGATGTAATGATAAAGATTGATGTAAATTAGTAAATCTAATGCATCCAATTCTTTAATTTCAAAAATTTTCTTTTTTATGATAATCAAAATATATTATGTGGTAATTTTAAAAGTTTTTTGTTGGTAAATCTTTATTAAAAAGACATTTCCAATATTGAAATAGAAGAAGCATAGTTTAAGTATGAAAATATTGTTATTAATGTGGCATATATTTCATCTTTTTAAACATTTCCCCATTGACTGCACAATAACTCTTTTAATAAAAACCCTCTGTAGGATAAAACATGAATATGTATTTGTAGCAAGCTTTCATTCATGTTACTACTAATATACAAATAATGAATTATTAATAAATTAAAATGAAGTTATCTCATAGTTTTTATATTATGCTAGATAAAATTGCACATTTATACATTCTATTTATATTTGCAAATTTACAGAAATGAGTGAAATTTGAGAGTACACTTTTAAAACAGAATTGAAGACTATTTTATCTATGCCCAAGATCATGTCAGAGTTGTTTCTAAAACATTTAAAAATTTCAATTTGAATGGATTAGCGGTGACCCATAGGCTTGAGAAGCATGGTTTGAATACCATGAAAAAGAGAGTTATTTGTTTTGAAGCATTCTGCTATTAAACTTGTACCTATGCTTCTGACATTATATAAAATGGCAATAAAGCAAAGGAACATAACCTTCATATAGTGAAAAAGTTCTTATGCATATACACAGCAAGAAAACCACTGGCTCATTATGGGTAGACCTTATACACAGTAAAGTATAAAGTATATAGATAGCACTGCATCATCTTAATATTAAAAAGAATTTTCAGCTCACATCTTTCTAAATACTATTCAATGGAATGCAGTAATGGTAAACCAATGACTTCTAAACTGATGGCTTTAAATTGATGTTCATTATCTCTCTTTAAATATTTAACATATATTAGCAAGTATCATAAAAGATGTATTTTAAGTAAAATAAATATTATACCATGGTATGGTTATCTTTTTTTTAAACTTTTCAGTCAAAATACTGGAAATAGGTCAAGTAATACAGTTGGGCAATGTTATTAACATTTTCTGAGAATTCAAGAGAAAAAAATCTATGAAAACATGCATTAAAATTTCAGTTTAATTTTTAAAAAAATATTTATTTATGTTAAAGTCAGAGTTACAGAGAGAGGGAGAGACAGATGGATAAAGAGAGAGAAATATTCCATCTGCTGGTTCACTCCCCAGAAGGCTGCAATGGCCAATCCTGGGTCAGGCCAAAGTCAGAAGCCAGGAGCTTCATCCGGGTCTCTGGAGCCCAGTGACTGGGGCCATCCTCTGTTGCTTTCCCAGTCATATCAGCAGGGAACTCAATGGGAAGTGGAGCAACCAGGATGCCAGCATTTAAGGCAGTGCCTTTACCCATTAAGCCACAACGTTGTTCTCTCACTTTAATTTATACTAACTTTATCTAAAGTGTATAAATATCTAAAATGATTCCTATCTTTAGTAAAACATGAAGTTTGTGATTTTATTACATTACAATATAAAAATCGAGGCATTGATATTTACTAAATTGTTCAAAAACATCAATGGGAGAGCTGTGATTTTGATGTATGTCTATTTGAATAGCATCCATGCCTTTACTTAGAACCATGTTGAAGACACTGGTGAGATCTGTACAGAGACTGTAGGGATTGCATACCTATATATCTTATCCGGAATCCTTTTTTGTTATTGCCGTGATCTGCTGACCATTGAAGAAACACTTCATGACCATTGCTTGTTATATTAAAGGCAGACGAATAATCTCCACTGAGGGAAACAAGCACTGGACTTTGAATATTTGGTCCTTCAAGAAGAAAACAGTATGATTTAGACAGAGAGGAATAACTATATTTTCATTTATCCTTACTGTTTTATATTATTAAAGTAGTACCAAACATAGTTAACTTTCCCAACAACCAATCTACCTCATCAGCAGTAACTGAAAACATAACACAAAATGTCTCTTTAAACATTTTAATTACTTAGCTATAGTATCCATAATTTGTAAAATAATAGGCAACCTAACTAACATTTTTATATACATTACTGGTAAATTTAAGGTTGATACCTCAAAAAAAATCTATAAAATAAAATCTCATAAGTAGTTGTTTATACCAAACATCTACACATGTAATTAGAGCATTGAGAATGAATTTATGAGTATCCAGTAAATATAACCCATGGTTACCATCATACACCTGAAGAACATCAAATTCCTTTTCTGTCTGGAAGAATTCTACAAACATGCTGATATTATAACCCTTTTCAACTGAAATACTCCATGCACACATTTGAAGATTTGGGTAACTATCAGGATATCCAGGGCTTAATATGACTCCTGTAGAATCCAGTCGTAATTCATTGGCAGGGCAGAGCACTGTCAAAGAAAGATAACATTAAATACTGCTAGAGCTTAGGACCTAAGTGAAAACTGCATTTTAAAATCTGGGTACTCTGTTTTCACATTTGATAACTATAAAGAATATGATAGCTTGAATTATGTGTTAGAAAAGACAACTTGAGCTAATCTTGGCATTCAGAAAATAGAGGAATGATCTACCAATGTGCAGTTATTGATTTCCTTCTTTATTATATGGAAGATGCACTACTGTTCTGGACAAAAAATAAATAGAATAGAAGGCACTTTCCCTTCTACTTCCTCACATCCTTTCCCATCTATTCCTTGTGTAGCATTCTCCCGCCTCTGCCTCTGTTATTCATATCTTTGCCCTGTCCTTTCTTTCCTACGTTGTTACTCACTTTTTTTGTTTCCTAAAGCTTTCAACTCACTCAGGTATGTGGGGCCTTAAAGGAAATTGTGTCCCCTCAGAGTATTCACTTCAAAGCCATTTTTGATCACAGGGATGTGCTTAAGTCATGAGGATATAAAAGAATTCTGGGTCACCAGAAAAGTTCCCGTTCAGTTTTTTGTGCTATCTGCTGGCCATAAAAGTGGTCCAAAGACAAGCTTCTCTTCCTGGATAACAATAGCTCGGTTAGATAATTTGTTATATATTGACAAAAAAAAATGGCCTAACAGCTCTAAAGTACAATTAACCTTAATTGTTGGCACCGATAGCATTATGTATGAGAGCAAAGAATACAAATATCTTCTTAAACTTGGATTTGCAGTAAGAGTTTGACTAATTTTATCAAGGTCATTTTACTCAGATGATGCCATTTTAGATTTTTTCTTAAAAGATGTGAAGTTACATGGTGTGGAAGAAGTATTGAAATTCCTCAGTGTGTCCCACGTTATGCAGAAGTAGAGTTTGTGATGAACAGGATTTGGTTCAAGGAAGAATTTTATTTTTCAGACAAGCAAAAGTGGCTATGGCTCCATGTCTTATGTGTATCATTGCTAAAGAGGTTTTAAACTTAGGTTGAATCATTTTTTTGAATATTCTTATTGGGATATTTATGCAATTGGAAAAATGTGTAAACTAGATAACTTTTGATAATTTTTTGAATTAGAAATATATCTCTTGTCATTTTCTAATTCAGCTACTATACAAAACCACTTATTATTAGATAGCATTATATCTCCAAACAATTACAGTATCACATTAAAAAGAACCATTTTAAATATTTGTCAGTTTTTATTTTCCATTGCAGACAGAATAAGACGTGCAGTGCAATTACTAATCTATAGGAAACTTGGATTTGGAAACAAGACATTGGGAGTCTGGAAAATGAAGAATTATGAATACAGCACTGTAATCTGTAGAGTTTTATTCATTTTCATTAAAAATATATTTTAATAGTGATCCAGAAAAAAACAGAGTCTTGCTTTGCAAGATTACAATATGTTTTTTAAATTGGGGACTAAAACGAAGACTTGCTATATATATATATATATGGTTATTCATTTTTCCTGAGTTAGTCCAAGTATTATCCCAGGTATAATTTCCTAAGAGGTGGAAACCATCTTCTTCAGTTACTTATCTAGATGTCTGAATATTATTTTTATATCATCCCCTTGGATAGAGAATAGACTCACATGAAAAAGATAGTTAAATGATGACAACAGCATATCGAGAAGTGATAGACTTCAACATGTCCAACCCACTTCAAGATGTTCCAATAGCACTAAGACCATGAGAAATTCTCACACTGGCGTTGGTTTATACCTCCAAACCCGTCTTTGCTACTGAAAAAGCCTCCTGTGAAAACCCTTTCATCTTCTTGTATGGATTCCAATTGCACAGCATGTTTAGAATTAGAAGAAATTTTTGTTTTAAGCGTATGACAATAGTTAAGATACTATGCAGTAAGCATATTTATATATCCTCAGGGGAAAAAAAACATGAAGGAAGTACTCCAAGAAAATCTGAGACAGGATAATCAAACACCATTATGATTAGTTTGGGGTATTAGGAACTTTTCTGACACTAAAGACTACACAAATAACAACAGATGAGTCCTGAATATCACATCAGTTCATCATGAGAAGTCTGTGCCCCACTGTATTTTCCTTATGTCTACATTAATACATCTGCCACTTGGACTAATTTTTTTATAGCATTGTCCCACCAAAATAAGTTTTCAGAGGTCAGTGGAAAGTTATGGCTAAGGAAAAATGTCTCCATGAAACATTCCCCAACTCACAAATAATTAAATAATATGATTCTACAGTTTCAGTCTATTTCCTAAACTGTATTGCTACCACCTGCCCAGCTACCAAATCCCCATCTTATAATGCCATCACAGCAAGAGCCACTTAAAACTTCAGAATTTTTGTTTGTCTTTTCTTTAGATTCATGTATTAACACATACTTAATGAAGTTGAATGAATTTAGTGGTTAGGTTAGTATAAAAACTGTTTGCAAATAAATGTAATGAACATTGGCATGTTTATCTAAAGTGATATTTTTCTCCAACTCCATTCCCACCTCTCAAAGAAAAGTAACTTTAAAAAGTTGAACTGACTTCAAGCTAAATTAGAAATATTAAATCTTTTGAAGAAGCAAAACTGTTTAAAATCAAAACTATGGAATAATATAATGAAAAATATCACAGATGAGTTATATATCTTATAATATTCTTTCTCATTAAATATTTCATATTGAAATGAAATAGTCTCTTCTCAATTTGCTAATACTGGGATATAAAAACAAATATTTAAGATATAAATGATCATAAGAAGATGTACCTTGACAAACTGGAGGTGCTCCATCCATCTGGAGTCGCTCTCCTAACCTGCATGTCAGAATTGCATTACCAACCAATGTAAACCCTGGAAGACACTGATATCTAATAATATCACCTATAAAAAAACAGGGCAAGAAGGATTTCAGATAAGCAACAATATTATGGTAAAATGAGTAGATATTTATTTTATTTTTAAAATTTTTATTAATAGAAAGGTAACAAATTTCATGTATTTCATAGATACAATTCTAAGAAGATAACCAACCCTGCCTACTTTTCTCTTTTCCTTAAACCCCACCTTATTTCCTATTTTTTTGTTCTTTAATTTTTGAGATAATTTCTTTTGGTATTTCATATATATATATTTCTGAGAGCATAATGATACTTCCCACCATACCCTCCCTACCTCCCTCACTCCTACCCTCTTTACTTCTTTTTTTTCCTTTACAATGACATACATTAAATATTCTTTATAATCACAAGCTTAACTGCCCACTAAATAAATAATTCAACAAGTAGTAATAGATATTTAATTGTAAGTGCAGAGTATTTTTCTCTTTACCATTTTCAACCAGTGTAAAAATTTTATTGATTATTGGCAGAGATGATACACATATATTGAACAAGCAGTACTTAATAGACATTGACCAATGAGAACTGAAGGCAAAAATAAACTATGTGTCCAACTGTTCTGGTATATGGTAGTTGGACATAAGAAATAGTTAAATGAAATAATTTGGTTTGTGTAGCAACATATCAAGTAGTCAGGCAACTCTTTAATATTGTTCTTATATTTATATTGGATTTTCATTAGCCAATGACAGTTTCTTTACATGCCTCAACCTAAGAAATTAAAATCATTATGGTAAAATTTTCTGTTTTAACAATGTGTCTTAATTTCTTACATGAATTTTTAAACTGTGAGACATGATCTGGCAGGAACTTCCAACTCAGTTTTAAAGGGACCTTATTTTCTATCAAGCATTTTCCAGGACATGGAAATGAAATATGCCTTTCAACACAGCCTAAATATCCATTCTACCAAGTCAGATGTTTGCCTGAATTCAAAGAACAGAAATTAGAACTATGGGTCAGAAACCAGTAACATAATTTGGGAAGAGCCACCAGGGCAGTTATATGACTCGAATTCCAACAGTTTCCTAGTTGTGCACTGTGTGATAAGAGAATTCATTCTTCCTACTTAATATTTCCTTTCCTCTTTTAAATGTTCTTCCATCGTAATAATTCTAAACAATTCCTATCAACCCAGGGAAAGAGATCTAAGCACAGGCTGCCACTCTTCTTGGTTTTTGTTTCTTTTAAAGCAAAAGGCTCTGCTAACAGTATATTTTCTTGAAATTAATTCAACAGACTTTACCTATTTCAAATTCATCATCTTCTGTCAGAATTTCAGCATTGGGCACTGGTGGTGGAGGCTGGCATACTCTTAGTTGATAGGCTACAAAAATAGATAATATGTTTATTTCCTTTCTGCATAGCTATATATACTCACATATGCAAAAAAGAAAAATATGCAAGATTTTATAAGACTAAAAATAAACATATAACTTAGTAAGACTAAATTATATCATTTTAAAGTATACTAAAATATTGAGGGAAAATAGCCCATTCTTTAGATGGCAAAATATTTTCCCATGGTAAGAATTCTTATCTTTTTACTACTATATCTCACAATCATTCTAGTCCCTCTTCCACAAGTTTCATTACAGATTTGACTGCAGCTAGCAAAATGAATGACATATGAATTGACTGCAAATACACTCTCAAGGTAATAAGCACTTACATTAATTCAATCCTCACCCAAAATCTTTATTATTTAATTGATGAATTATCCTCATTTTGTATCATAGAAAACTGTTTAAGAGTTAAGATTTTGTCCAAACTGCATACCTACAATGTGGCAAAGCTGGTATTGAATTTAGATAGTCTAACTCCTGAATCTTACCTCTCTGTGCTACACTACTACATTTTGTAGGTAACTTTGTTGAACTTCATGTTTCTAACTATCTTATCACTTAAACAGGTTATTCTATCAGGAGATTCATAGTTGGTATAATTTAAAGGCCACTCTAGAAAAGTATCAATGTATCCAAGAATGATGGCCAGTTAGTACCATATCATATCTGAAATCAATAACAATTATTTGCTTGAATAAACCCTTGTTTTTTCTAGGATGCCTTTAAAATGTAATATACTTGTAAAAATTTTATTTATCTATTTTTGAGAGAGAGAGAGAGACATAGAGAAAAGATCTGGTAGTGCACCACCAAAATGCCTGCACTGCCTGAAGATGTACCAGGCCTCAGCTGGAACTGGGAACTCAATCAAAGTTTCCCACATGGGTGACAGGAATCAAATTGTTTGAGCCATCACTGCTGCCTCCCAGAGACACTATGGAGATTTCCTAAAAAGCTAAAAGTATAACTTCCATATGATTTAGCAGCACCACTACTGGGTATTTATTGAAAACACTGAAATTGTATTTAAGAGTTATCTGCCACCACACATATTGTAGCACCGTTCACAATATCCAAGATGTAGGATCAACAAGGTACACATTATTAGAAGAATGAATAAAAATAAGATATATATGAACATTATGCAACCATAAAAGTAATAATATATTTGCAACAAAATGAATGGAACTAGAAGACATTATGTTATGTGAAATAAGCCAAACACAGAAAGCCAAATACCACATTTATCCTCATACACGGAAATTAAAAAAAAAAAAAAAAACTCAATTTTAACACAGAATGCTGGCTATAGCATATAGGAGGGGCTAGGAAGGAGAGACAATTTTGAAATTGGATACCAAACCAGAGTTAAATTTAAGGAATAAATCCTAATGTTAAACAGTATAGCAAGAAGATAATAGTTCATGATATCCTAGCATATATAATATGAACAGAGAAGCAAGAAGCTCCAAGCCTTCAATATTAATTAGGAGAGGTAGCCCATAGACATATACAAGTACTGTTAGCAAAGTTTTTACAAAAACAGTAAATATGACCTTCTTTAGTTCTAAGGGTAATCATGAGCAAAAGATCATTTCATATGGAGGAAAAAAAATTGAAAATAAATTCAGCAAAGGAATAAATCATTGATTTTTATCATCACCTAACAAAGAGCAATTTAAAGGTTAATTGGCTAATAAACTTCCAGTTTACTAAGGACAGAGAGAATTTTTCAAAATAAAAATGAATAGTGCTGGCGCCATGGCTCAATAGGCTAATTCTCCACCTAGCGGCACCAGCACACAGGGTTCTAGTCCCCTTTGGGGTGCCAGATTCTTTCCCGGTTGCCCCTCTTCCAGGCCAGCTCTCTGCTGTGGCCAGGGAGTGCAGTGGAGGATGGCCCAAGTGCTTGGGCCCTGCACCCCATGGGAGACCAGGATAAGTACCTGGCTCCTGGCTTCGGATCAGCACGGTGCGCCCACTGCAGCGTGCCAGCTGTGGCGGCCATTGGAGGGTGAACCAATGGCAAAAGGAAGACCTTTCTCTCTGTCTCTCTCTCTCTCACTATCCACTCTGCCTGTCAAAAAAAAAAAAAAAAAAAAAAAGAATAGTGATGAATCAAGGATAATTTATTTCAATTGCCTTCTGCAGATTACTATCATTTCAAACATCTACAGTCTAGTACTTTAGCCTGCTTATAAAAGCACTTGGTTTGCAGGAATGTCAATATTCAAGAAAAACTTTGCCCTACACAAAGGCTTACCAGAGCATAAAGAAGCCCAGGGAAGGAACCTATAACCTTAATTTTTGAGAAAAAGCCTTGTAGACTGTAAATAGGGATTTAAATTTTTTTTCATGAACTTAGAACTTAAAAAAAATAAAGAATAATTATAAAGGTAAAAAGGTATTGTAAGAAACAGCCAAAAAGGAAGAGAAAAGAGAGGAAAATTCAGAGACCCCTAAGCAGAGAAATCCTAGTGAGTTTATGCTTTAGAGAATATTTTATCTAACCTTAATGTAGAATATAATCAGTTCAGAAATTAGAGAAATATAGAAATAGCCACATGTGTATTGTTTTCATTTGTATTTGGCTGGAAAGTTATTTTTAATCTTCATGCTAATCACAATTTGTTGTATTATTTTTAAAGAAGAAGCATCTTTATCTTTACGTGGAACCCGTGACTGCTGTTATCAGTGGAATGTGCTTAGTGATCCTGATAACTCATTTGCAGAGTCACCAGGCTAGAGGTAGTAAAGCTTTATTAATGAGGAGTATGAGGCTCAGAGATATTATCTTACTTTTCCAAGACCATATAGAGCTGTGAACTAAAGTCTGCCTTATTCTTAGTTATTTTCCATCATCATTAATTTCATCAACTGTGTCCCTAGAAGCTAAGGGATCACTGTACTGCCATAGAGCATCTGGGATTTATGCCCTTACATTCCACTTCTACTTCAATAACAGCATTGTATATTGATCAATTTTATAAACTTCAATTCTGAGCAAATTTTTCTTTGAGTAAACTTTCTACAACTTCTTCTGAGTGATTTCACTAATTCTTTTCAAAATTTTCTAAAAATTTTATTTTTTATTTTTATTTCTAAAAATTTTTGAGATAATATATTTTTAATTCATAGTCAATAGCTTAATGTATCACCAAATTTGTCCAATAAACAAAAAGTAAACACATCATATTTCAGCAGGAATATAGGCAAATGCTATAGACAATAATCAAATGAAAAGATGTAAATTTCAGTCATACATTTTACATTTTAAAATAGTTTTTAACAAGTCAATAATTAGATCCATTAGCTATGCATATAATTCAACAATAATTTGCTAAGTAATAGACAGAATGTAGAATTCCTAAGAAATAGTCTAAATTTATAATGTTCCCTAAGATGATGCTCAGTTGTAAAACTGCAAATGGAGATGAAACAGAAGCAAATGTGGGTCGGGAGGAACTAGTGGACATAATCTAAGAAGCATTTCCATGAGATGTTTTTCAGAGTTGGGCTATGCAATTTTTAATTTAAAAGAATGAGCAGGGGATAATGATTTGAAGCCTCTTCATGTTTTTCTTTTGACACTTATAAAGTACTACAAATTGCTAAATTTTAAGCACCTTTCAATAATTGCTTTTACTCTTCATCAATTTCTTTTAGCTAATGCTTTAATAGAATTCTAGGACTTTCCAGTGTCTTTCATTCTTTCTGCCAGATCTCAATCTAGACCACTTGTCATGTTATACCTGGTACACTTAGTTTAAAAGTGTCTCCAAAAACTAATGTATTTACTGGAATTTCAGAATGTTATTTGAAATAGGGCTGTTGCAGATGGAATTAGCTAAATTGAAGTCATATTAAATTAAGGTGGATCCTTAATCCAATATGACTAGTGTCCCTATAAAAAAGATGCTAAAAGCCCCTGAAACAGATACATAGGGAAGACAGCCATGTGTTAAGGGAGACAGAAATTATGGTAATTCATCTAAAAGCTAAGGAATACTTAAGATTGTTACCCGTCACCACAAATAGGACAGGGAAAGGAAGCATCGTCACCTAGAGCATTGGAGTAGGGAGGAACGATACTGCCAATATGTCAATACACTGACTGCAGATGTCTAGCCTCCAGAATTGTTAAAGAATAAATTTCTCTTATTTTAAACTACACTGGATTATTAACTGGCTTACTTTCTGTGCCTCTCTTTCATAAAACATACACACTGGTAAAGTGGTAGAAGAGAATCAAGACAGTGTTTATGTGGAATTCAGTATGAGTAAAGGATTCTGTGAGATATTCAATATGGCTCTTTTGTTAATCAACAAAATGCTTCATGAAAAGTGTCTCAGCGGTCGGCGCTATGGCTCATTGGGTATAACCACCGACTGCAGGGCCAGCATCCCTTATGGCCGCTGGTTCAAGTCCTGGCTGTGCCACTTCTGATCCAGCTCTCTGCTATGGCCTGGGAAAGCAGTAGAATATAGACCAAGTCCTTGGGCCCCTGCACCAGCATAGGAGACCTGGAAGAAGCTCCTGGATTCAGATCGGCACAGCTCCCACCATTGTGGCCCACTGGGGAGTGAACCAATGGATGGAAGACCTCTCTCTCTACCTCTCCTCTCTCTGTGTAACTCTAACTTTCAGGTAAATAAATAAATCTTTAAAAAAAGAAAGAAAGTGTATCAGTTATGATGCTTGTATCCCAGATTGGAACACTGATTCAATTCCCAGCTTGGGCTCCTAACTCCAGCTTTCTGACAACGCAGATACTGGAAGGTAGCAGATGGCTAACTGAGCCCTCAGCACCCAATTGGGAGACTGAGCTTCAGCCCAGAGCCAGTGGATGAGAGCCATTCCTCTTTTAGCTTTGCTGTCTCTTTGCTTCTCAAATAAAAACATTTTTAGAGGATATATAAGCATATCTATCTTACAAAATGGGATACACATTTTAGAATGGTTGAATTTTTTGCCAAGTTC